CTGGCCAGTCCGATGGTCCTAGTTATACATAAAATAATGTTTTCCCGCTGCTCTTCCTGTTTTCAATGCACTGAAAGCACCCAGACAAATCCAGGAAGGCCCCAGACCTCACAAGAAAGCTGGCAGCTTTTGTGTCTCCATCTTAGGCATGTTTTGAGCAAGTTTCAGAGCAGAGAGGAAAGAATAAAGCACCACAAACTTACCAGAACGAGTTCTTTCCTGGGGCTCGAAAGCGCTGGGGGCGATTCCCAAAGCACCCAGCAGCATTGTCTTTGGTATTGAAAGAAGGGCCCCGACCTTCAGAGGTATTTCAGCTCCTAACTCCCTTTGGAATTGACAGAAATCAGGAGACAAAATCCCTTGAAGCTGACAGCCGCGCAGGGCGAGTTCGGTGCGGGGGAGCCGAGGGCGTCTCTTGTATTTTCATTGTGACAGTTCTGGCTTCCGCCCCCAGCACCCGGAGTCTCAGGAGGACAGGGAACTCCTGGCTACCTGGGCTTGTGGCCCCGTCAGCGTGGAGAAATGCCGGGCAGGGCAGCCCCTGGAGGCCCAGACGCCAGGAAGCTACTAGGCTCGGCCCTGCCTGGATTCTTTCTGAAAATCTCCTGGTTTTCAGCCGCTATCATGATTTTTCCTTAACCTTAGGCAGCGAGGGGCTGCTCAGAGCCAGGGAAGGAGCTGGAGCAGGCCCCACTATAATCAGGAGTCCAGTGGGTACGGCACTGGGCCGGGAGTCAGAGCGGTCGGGTTCTCTTGCCAGTTCTGTCATATGGACGTTGGGGAAACACCTCCTTTCTCTGCTGAGTGCTGACCTGCCCGGCCTTTCATAGAATCATAGAATCATAGAATATCAGGGTTGGAAGGGTCCTCAGGAGGTATCTAGTCCAACCCCCTGCTCAAAGCAGGACCAATTCCCAACTAAATCATCCCAGCCAGGGCTTTGTCAAACCTGACCTTAAAAACCTCTAAGGAAGGAGGTTCCACCACCTCCCTAGGTAACCCATTCCAGTGCTTCACCACCCTCCTAGTG